TCTGAGTAGTGTGCTGTTAAATATTCATTGCTGGACATCTTTGTTCCATGAGCAAAGATCCTGTTTGAAAGAAATTTGAAACAAATTTTCAAGTAAATTTTCTAATTTTTAAACTTAGGACTTGACTTTTCACGTCTTTTCAATGAATAAATCTTCGTTTTGCGTCCAGAGACCCGGTTTCCCGAGGTAGGACGTTCACATCTTTTATACTTAAGTTATTTTTATATTTGTATTCCAACTTATATGAAGAGGGTTAGAAAAGGTTTTGGCAACTTCATGCTTGGCTCTTTCTAGAGTGAAAAAATATGACGTAGTTGTATTAAGGCTTGGCTCTAGATTGAAAAATAAGATAGTGCTGTAGTAGGTTAACGTTGTGCCTCTGCGCAATGTTTTGCCTTTGGGTACATTCTTTTCATTGTATGTCTCTGTCTGTACCCTATAACTTTTGACGTCACCAATGAAGTATTATCACAATTTCATACTTCTGAAAGATAGAAAGATTAGAATATTTTCAATTTTGAGGCTGGTGTATTTTAAAGTTATAAGTTCACATTAATTCTAAACAAATTTGTTACATAAAAATTAGAGCATACAAATACAAATGCTTATGCACACACACACGCACACACACACACACTCGTACACACGCACATAACCACCATATGAGAACATTCATAAAAGTAAAGGTTGTGACATTAAACATTATTGATAGTCATTATCTAAAGCCTGTTTCCAATCAAATATTCTATAAAAGTATCCGTCTTTGTTTCTACTGTTTTTTTGTTGTTGTTAGTAATATTACTACTGTACTGCACTTCACTACTACAATCTTCAATGTAATGCTTATTAAAACTTGATGTATTTATTATTTTTCATCTAGTTGTAGTAGTAGTAGTAGTAGTAGCAGTAGTAGTAGTAGGTAGTAGTAGCAGCAGCGGTAGCAGTAGTAGTAGTGTATTTGTTGTGATAATAGTAATATTAGTAAAATAAAGTTATTACTAATGGCAATGTTAATAATAATAATAGTGGGGGTAACTGATTCAAAAATATGGAAGATGACATTGTTTTAATGACAATATGGAAAATAGCTATGTTGTTGCATTGTTCATGATTCTTTGCCATCTAAGCTCATTCACCCTTGATAAATACAAAGAGTACACACATCCAAATGATGTCTAGTCATTATGTTTTTTCTACAGAGCTAGTTTGATTGTGTTTATTTATATAATCATTTGTAATTCTTGGCAAACACATTGTACGAAATAATATTTTTATGACTTTTATGACTTTTTATGAGTTTATGTGACAAAGAAAGAATGCGTTTTGTGGCGTTATGTGGTCATATAACAATTTACCTGTTTGTTAGTTTGAAGGGAAAAGTTTCATTCTGGTTCTATCTAGTGTAAGATCGGTGGTGTTAGCTTGTTGTTATTCGTTCGAGGTTGGATGGTTTTGTTTTGTTTTGTTTTGTTTTGTTTTGTTTTGTTTGTTCATTCATCCACTCGCTTGCTTGTTTGTTGTTAATCTTTTGATTGCCTGTTTATTGACCATATATTTATTTATATTTCCATTTTATTATTTCTTTTCTAGCAAATAGATCAGTTTTTTTCAAACCAGTTGTCATGAATTTTTGCAAAAACTTTTTCTTATGCTCATTGATACACTTTTTTTTCCTCTTGGTTCCTTGTTTAGTTTATGGAAGGGAAAATGAGAGAACAAGAATAATAAATTATGATAAAGGATGAGAAAGAGAGTGAGAGAAAAAGAAAGAGAGAGAGAGAGAGAGAGAGAGAGAGAGAGAGAGAGATGAGAAAATGTTTCTCTGATCTTTTTATGGGTTAGGTCATAAATGTAACATCATCATTAAATCAGTTAAAAATATTTGTTCATTTACAATCATTCATGTATCAAACCATGCAAAAATTTTAAGTAGGCTTATGTACTGAGCGTATGTGTGTGTTTGTTTGTGTGTGTGTGTGTGTGTGTGTATTCTATTGTCACTACTTGGAATTGAGACAGTGTTGTATTAAAAGATTTCAGAATGCAATGCAAAAGATGAATGAATGAATGAATGAATGAATGATGGATGATAACAGGCTATAAATAACAAATAGTGATGCATTGCAAATTTTGTGTATCATTTGATTAATAGGCTGTAGGCTTTGTGCATGTGTGTAAATACAACGTGAATGCATGTTTGCTTGTATGTATGCATGTATGTTTGTATGTACGTACGTATCTATGTATGTATTTATGTATGTATGTATGTATGTATGTATTATTAATATTATTACTTTCATGGTCATCACTGCCATTTCACAATATCTCAATTGTTCTGATATAATATTTATTGTTTAAAATTAAGTAAATCAAACGTTATTTACCTTTCATTTACCTACCAACCTACACACACAACACACACAACACACACACCACACACACACACACACACTCACACACACACTGTGATCTGTTGATTATTTATGATATTATGAATTTTAATTTTTCAAATTTTATTTATGGAAAGTAACTTAAAGAAGTATTAATTTTACGTAACTTCAATGTTTCAACGAGTTATGCTGTTGTTCTGTGAACTCTTATTAATTTTCGTATGTTGTGTAGAGCAATGATGGTCTTAAACAAAAAGGTCTTTCTGGCGTTCAGATTACCTGGTTTCGAATGGGAACTTAACCATGAATGTCTATCGTAATAATATTTGTGAAGCATTGTTGTGTTGTTGTTCTTTGCTGGACATCTGACAGTTGGGACAATCAATAAATGGTGTTGGAAGGCCTTGAAAGTTATTGGCTGGCTACTGTGAATGGGATTTGTGCAGTGCATTGTGTGCGCTGTGCTGTGTGCCTTAGCACAGTACTGTTGCTATTGTTTGATGTTGTTGACGTTTTTGTTGTTGTTCTTGTCATTGTTTGTTGTCGTCGTTGTTTGTTGTCGTTGTTTGTTGTTGTGTGTGTGTTATTACCTGAGTCTTGGTATTGCAAATTCTTTTATTTTTATTGTGTTTTTTGTGGAGATTTGTTTGTTGTTTATCTTTTTTGTAGCCATTTATTCGTTTCTGAAAGTTTAGAAAACTTTATGAAGGATTAATCTTTCATTGATAGTTCAAAAATTTCTATTTGTTTTTTTTTGGAGGGCAGAAGCCGGAAGGGTTTGAAAGCTTAGATTGAATAAATGAAGGAATGGATCAATTATATATTAAATGGTGGCTCTTGACTAGACTCTCTTGAATGCTGTCACAAAAATTCATAAACTGATTCGCTTGCCCTTGTTATTATTTTTCTTTCTCTCTCTCTCTCTTTCTCTCTCTCTCTCACTCTTTCCTTAACTCTCTCTCCTCTCTCTCTCTTTCTCTCTCTCTAGTGTTAATTTCTGTTACCCAACCAACAACCCATTTCATCAGCACAATAAACTCACGAAAATCTCTGTATATTTTTGTTTGTATATACACTCATCGTTATTATTATTGTTGTTGTTTTAGTTGTTGTTATTGCAACTTTATTGTTGGCTTAGTTGGCGTCAACATTACTATGATGTAGTTTTGATTTGGTTTATATTTTTAAATTGTCTAATTGAAAGTTTTTGCTTGTTCCATGCGAATGAATATATCTATTTAACCGAGGTTGTTCCTGTCCCTACTTCCTGGTGTATGGCCATGCAGTAGTTAATGCCAGATTATGTTTCTACCATTCGTATCTCGTAACCATTTGATAATTTGTTCAACAATGTTATCCTCATTGTCTCCATGCTGGTAACGGTTATCCATTTTGTCAATACTATCACCAACTTTTCAGGTTTCACATTGGATTATCGACTTTTAGTTTGTGTCCATTATTCGTTTTTTTTTCGTATTATATTATTATTATTTAAAATTTAAATGAAATGGATACAACTGATCGTCTAATTTGGCGCAAAAAGTTGATGGCAAAGAGAACAACGTCCTACCTCGGGAAATCGGGTCTCTGGACGCAAAACGAAGATTGATTGTTGTTGTTGTCATGTTTATCAGCGACATTATTATCAACAACAGAAAAATCACTACTATCATACATAATATCGTCGTCGTCATCGTCACACATTGCAATCAGCGTTATACATTTGCAATCATCGTCATTAGTTACAATCATCTTCATCATCAGTATCATATGAATATTTAATTAATGCTGATTGATCTTTTACAGTAGTCGAGTTTTTTCTGTGGTGTTTGTAGTTTGCGTTTTTTTCTGGCTGTTTATTTGTTTTGTTGATGTTTTTCTTTATTTCTTTATTTCTTCCTCCCTTTTTTTCTTTTTTCTTTCTTTTAATTGTTAGAATATTTTGTTCTTATGTTCATATGTTTGTTTGTTCATCTGTTTGTTTACTCGTTTGTCCATTTCTCTGTTCATCTCTTTGTTCCTCTGTTTGTATTCATTTTGAACGGTTCATTTATATTGCTTATTTCGTTATTTTAGAGAACAACATTTGGGTTATCTTATAAAATGGTGTTATGAGATTGCTGGTTACTTGATCTACCTGCTGTTATTTTTTGTAAATGCCAGAATTTTTTTCCCCTTTTACACAATGCATTTATTATTTTATCTTCATTTTCAGATCTATTGGTAGTTAAATGTTACATACATACACACACATACATTTATACATACGTACATACATACGTACGTAGTACATACATACATACCTACGTACATACATACATACATATACACACATACATACATACACACACATACATACATACATACATACATATTCGGTTAATCATCAACTATAATTAATCATGAAAAATTCAAACCTGGAATAAATCATCTAGTCAAAATAATTCATTCCCGAAAAACAGCGCATCGGCCAACAACAATAGCGGCAGTGCTAACAACTCAACCGCGTCAACGCCAACGGCCACGACGGCTGTCTGGCCACTGAATATGCAGCAGCAGCAACAGCAACAACAACAGAAACTCACTCAACAGCAACAACAACAGCTTGGCATGGATCTGGGCCCACTGCCTCAGGGCTGGGACCAAGGGTTCACACCTGAAGGAGAAGTTTACTTCATTGACCACATAAATAAGAGGACAAGTTGGGTCGATCCAAGAACCACTAATCTTGCTACTGGTCAGTTGTGTGCGTTTATATGAGTTTGTTTGCTCGCTTGTATGTGTGTGTGTTTGTATTTGTTTGTGTATATGTTTTTATGTGTGTGTGTGTTTTTGATTTTTGATGTATGCGTGACAATATTTACGATTGTTTTTTGTGTGTTTCAGTTCCCAAATGGTATTCGTTTATATGCTTTTAAAAGTATTTGCGTGTTTGTGGACTTGTCTTATTAATAATGACTGTTGAGATGTGCCTCTATTTATTAGCCACCACTGTTAAGAGACAGTAAAAGTTCTTTCAAACTTCAGTCTCCCTGCTTTTTGCAAAATAAGATTTTCTTCCTCTTCTTCTTTTTTTTGTTCTTCTTCTTCCTCTTTTCTTCGCTTCGTCTTCGTTTTCCTCTTTTTCTATAATTGTTGTTGATGGTGATGCTAGCAAAGATGATGGCACGGTAATAAAGATGGTGATGGTGATGAAGCGTTATGCAAATAGCGGGTGATGATGTTACTGATGATGCTGTCTGATGTAGATCAGAGGTGTCTGTTTTTATTGCTGTTGGCCTGTCAAACTCACTTAAGAACTGTTAATTACTTCTCAATATGGTTGGATGCTGGATGGATGGTTGGATGGAGGGAGGGATGAATGAATGGAGGAATGAAGAAATGGATAAGTGTTATTGTTTTATTAGCCCCAACATCTGTGTTGTTTGTATCCATTTCAACCACTACAAAGTGTTAATGATCTAGTTTTGTGGAGGTCGATGGTCGCCAGTGTCCTGAAAGGATAAGACACGAGAAGGAAAGAAAGAAAGAATATTAGATGAATAAAACAAAAAATCTTCCGACGCTGACTGAAACTCTGATGCTGTATGCTGTGAATGACATTAAAACCTTTGACCGATGCAAGAAAGATTACCTTATTTAACCATCATGATTTTATTATTTATTGCCAATTTGATTTCATTTAAAAAAAAATTAATACGTGCTAATGACTTTTCGACATCTAGTGATAATAAAATTTATTTTTAATTAATAATCAATATTAAATTGGTTTGGTTTTTAACCAATTTAATTTACTGCATACTGGTTGAATTTTTTTTTCACCCAATGACTCCAATGTTATTCTGATCAATCGTAATAAGATAGTAATGACAATTAATTTAGGTTGTAATAAAGCTAACTTTGAAATTAATTTCTTTGGTTGATAAAAAGTTCAATAATTTTTTTCGGCTTATTAAACGATAGTAAAAATATAAAAATGTTTATTGCCTGGATATTTATATAGTGTAATAAATAAATAAATAAATAAGGCTGTCACTTTCCAAATATTTTTTCAGTGGAATTATATATTGAGGAATTGATCAGAGGACCAAAAAAATTTACATGTAAGAATATTTTGGGAGGAGCATCTAATGCCATTTTAAGTTATTCACTTTTGTAAACAACAAACACCCACACTGGCACACGCGCACAAACGTGCGTGTCTGTGTGCATGTGTGTGTGTGTAGCATTGTAATTTCGCATCTATATAGAGTGGCTTATTAAATAGCTTCTCAGAGCCTTTGTTATTATAAGCGTGTTTAGCATATATCTATTATATGTCTGTATCTATATACGCATACGTATATGATGAGTTTGTGTGTGTGTGCTTGCGTGCACGTGTGTGTGTGTGTGTTTGCAAGCATTATTGGATCATTTGTGTTACAAATTTCTTGTTATATCTATTTTCCAGCTTGTCAAATGTAGATGATTGATTGTTGAGTTTGTTCTTCTTTATTGCCAACATATATTTTTGGTAGGTTTTGTTTTTGATATTTTTTTGTTTATGTTTAACTTTTTTTTTACCGTATTCTTAAAAATATTCTTTTTTTTAACTGCTTCTTATTTCTCTCTTTTGTGGTTTTTCGTCATTGCTATGATTTTTTGGGTGCAGTTTCTTCCCAGGTGAGATGACTGCGGCTTGGAATTTTTATCTGAAGCACATTTTGTTGGGTTTTTTTTTTGATTACAACATTTTTTTGGATACAACATTTCGTTTCCTCTAAACTAATACCTCTATTTGCCTATTGATTCCACGTCTCTTTACAGTTATGCGTTTTCCAGAAATTTTCTTAGAACTGTGGGTTGGTTTCTGTGAGAGTTATATTATTTTTCGCTGGATTTTCATTTTTGTGATGATTCGATAAATTTAATATAATTATTTTTGATTTATGAATATTTCTTTCAAAGATGGTTAAAACAGTTTGTATAATGTATATGCTACCTCATTTTATTATTATTTTTTGTATTTTATTATCACTTGTTTTTTTATTTTATTTCCTGCTTTCTATATCTTGTTTTTGTTTTTACATCTCAGTACCTGTATTCATGTATTAATTGTGGTTGCTTTTTGTCACTGGTAGATTAAAGATAAGATCTGTTTGTGTGTTTATGCTTGAAAATAATTCCTTCTGACTCCATCTCTCGCCGATTCCTTAATATGAAGATATATACTCTCTGATGATAATTTCAATTAGAGATAAACACAGTTTTATTGCTGCATTTCTCTTTGCTAATAATTTTATTTCTCGTACCATCACCACCACCACCATCTTTTTCCTCCTTTCCCTGCTCTTCTTCCTCCTCTCTCCCATTGCTGTTATCATCGTTCTCGGCATCTTTATCATCATTATTTTCATTGCTGATGTCATTGCCTTCATTTTCCACATATCGTCATCATCGTCGTAGTCATCATCATCATCGTCGTCGTCATCATCATCATCGTCGTCATCATCATCATCGTCGTCGTCATCATCATCATCAACAATGTTTCTTAAGAATTGCCTCAAAAGTTTTTCGCACTATCACGAGCATTATTATTATTATTATTATTATTATTGTTATTATTGTTATTATCATTGCAATTGTTATTAATATTATTTTTTAAAAGTAGAAGTTGTTAAATATTTCTGAATAATTTATATATCACCCAGCAGCTAAGAAGGTCACCCCGATAAAGACAAGATCCAATCCCCTTCACCCAATCAACCTCAACAAACAACAGCATCCAACCCTTCTGCAACAACAGCAGCAGCAACAACAGCAGCAACAACAACAACAGCAACAACACATGTTGAACAACCAGCAATCCAGACTAGCAGGTCAGCTTCCTCCGAAATCAGGTCAACCAATCTCTAGGCAGAAAGCAGCTAAGATAGGTGGCATCAATATATTAACGGGCATACAAAATCTACAGCTGCCCAATCAGCAGCAGCAGTTGCAGCTACTTAACCAGCAACTGCAGCTGCAACAACAACAGCAAGCTATCAACAATAGACTCCTATCGTTACCGAACACCAACATTTTAAACAACAGCAATATTACGCTTAACAACAGTAACAACAGCGGCAACACCACCAATGGCAGCAACAACCAGGAACATTACAACAGCATCAGATTTGAGTTGGAGAGAGTGAAGAAGCAGAAGGAGAGGCTTGCCAAAGAACAGGAGGAATATCTTAGGAAGGTTTGTGTTGTTTGTTTGTTTGTATGGTTGCTGGTTGTTTGTTCTGTTTGTATGTTTGTTTATATGTTTGTTCAGTCGTTGTATTATTGTATCAGCTTTGTATTTGATATTTTAGCTTCTTAGTAGCTTATGCGTTTTTTTGCAGGAAAATATCTTCTACAACTGTTGAAGATTTTTAAGATAGTTTTATTTATGGCAACTGGCCAAAGAGTAACTGAAAGAAATAATAAAAATTACTAAAACCCAGGTGCGATGCTAATTAATTGTTTCCAGAGAAGTTGATCCATCACTGATAAAGCATTGTTTTTTTTGGTTTCTGTTAATTATAAGTTGATATGTGCTAAAAAGTCTGAAATAATTATCAGTTAGCCAGTAATATTTTATGATTATATTATGATTATTGTTGTAAGTGGTAAAAAATAAAATAATATTGTGATTATCGTTGTTAATGATTGTTTAGGAAGTTTCATTGTCCTTATAGCGTTTCCAAGTGCTATTATTATTGCTATTTTTTTTATTACTATTTTGTTGTTTTTTTTTCATTTAAATATCATTATTGCTATTTTTTGTCATTTGGTTTGTATTCGTTTGTTTCAGTTGTATATTTAATTTTGTCTGTGTGTCTCTCTCTGTGTGTGTGTGTCTGTGTGTGTCTCTGTGTGTGCTTGCGTGTGTGTGCTTGCGTGTGTGTGTGTGCTTGCGTGTTCTTCCGTTCTTACTTTGCATTTTGCTATTCTGCTGAATACTTTTGTTTCGTTTTTTAGAGAATTTTTTTTTCAGAATGCAACTAACAGTTAATTATTTTTAACTAACTATTTTTATATGGAAATGGAAGTGGCTGAGAGAGAGAGAGAGAGAGAGAGAGAGAGAGAGAGAGAGAGAGAGAGAGGGCAGAAAGTAATCCGCTGAGATAATAATAATCTTATTACAAATTTTTTTTTGTTTCGCTGTTATGGGTAGTCAAGCCATGTTATTTCTGTCGTTTTTTGTTGTAAAAATAACAAAATAACATCTCTATTTTTAGAATTCATATACACTGTAAAGTAACTACTATGTATGTATGTGTTGTTATGTAATGGTATGTAATGTAATGTACTAGTTTGGGTCATTAAAAATACTAGCAACATAATAATACTTTATAAGTAAGCGGTTACTTGTGTTGAACTGAACAGTAGTAGTAGTGGTAGTAGTAGTAGTAGTAGTAATAGTAGATGTTGTTGTCGTTTTTTGGTAAATCATTTTACATGTGCAGTAGCAGCAATTTAAATCACTTTTGAATAGTTGTGTGTATCTTACGGTAGCATTATTATTCTTACAAGTAGTAGTAGTACAATTTGTAGTAGTAGTAGTAGTAGTTGTTGTTGTTATAGTAGTAGTAGTAGTGGTGTAAGAGTATATATAGTAGTAAGTATTGGTGTTTACATATTCCGGTAGTAAGTAACAAACATGTCATTATGGCCTGGCGGAGAATTCCTTCCGAGATGTTGTTTTTTAAAACATCATTTATGGCTGCTGTTATGGTTGAACCCCATAAATATGCATTGAAATTATTCTGTCGGGTGGGGGGTTGTTTTGTATGTGCTTGGTTCATTTTCTCTGTGTGTGCGTGTGTGTGTGCGTGAGTGTGTGCGTGCGTGTGTGTTCCTTTCTTTTTGTGTACGTGAGTTCTATGTTTTAATTTTTTATATATACTAGAGAGAAAGTTAGATGCCAAATTATTCTGAATATCTTTACATTGGTGTTATTGGTAACATTGGTTCATTGGTATTGCTATTTCTTTTAACGTAGACTGCTTTTTATTGTGATATACGTGTTACCGTTGTTGGTATCTATGGTATCATATTTTTTTTTACATTTATTTTTTTTATTATTATCGTCTGTTCCGTGAAAAGATCAGGTGTAGTTTTGTGACATAAATGTATCACAAAAATAAATTGAAGCAGTTATTTGTTAATGGTGATGATGATATAAATAAAAACTGCTGAAATGTTTTAATTTTCGTTTAATTGCTATGCCTGTTGGGACGGTTGACCCATATTGTTATTATTATTGTTGCTGCTGCTGCTGCTGTTGTTGTTGTTGTTGTTGTTACTATTATTATTATTGCTTTATGAAACTAAATTTTGTGGTTTGTGATGTTGTTGATACAAGTTTTGTATTTTCAAACAAAATGAGTTGTTGTTGCTTTAGTTGTTGTTTTTTTTGTTATTGCCAATATGGTTCTTGAAACTGTTGTCGGTGGCTATTAGTCACAAGTTTTAGCTCAAGTGCTTCAATGATTACGTGAGGTTGTAGGATTGTTTATTATTTTTTGACTTTTATTCCATTACAATTCATTCCCTTGTACAATTACGGGGTAAAAGCTAGTATGTAAGTTCCGCCAATAGGTGAGTATATATCTTTGCAGCAAACCAAGTGACTGAGTCGGATGAAGAATATCCCACTCCAAACCCGGGTCCTCAAAAAAGTTCTAACTCCTTCAATCCTTCAAAAATATCCAACTCTAACAACAACAATATATGCATATATCTGAATATCTGAAGGAGGTTTTTCGCAAAAGAACTGAAGCTGATGTGGGACTTGCATTGCGTTCGGTTTCGTCAGAAATGATGGTGATTCCTAGGATCAGGACAAAACTTGGTGACAGATGCAGTGCTGGTTGCTCTGCCCAAGGTATGGAATGATCTGCCAACAAGATTGAAGCAAATTGTTCTAGAAAAAGATTTCAGAAGAGAATAAACGAGTTATTTGTTCAACAAAGCATTTAATCACAGTACAATCTTCTGAGGAAATTTCAATAGAGTGAATAACATGATAAAAATAATGATAATAATAATTATATATACTCTGAACAAGACAACTATAGTTATTGTAGTTATACACTTGTGCAGCAACAAAAACAATGCCTAAATACTAACTAATAAAAATACTGAATACCGGATAATAAAAAACAATTTATAAATTTGATGGTCGGTTAAAAATAATAATATGACGGTTACAATATGGATGAATGATGATAACAAAAACGGCATTGTACTTTAGGAATAGGTCTAATACAATATGCTTTTCTGATGGTTCTATGAGTATGTATTGCTATTAAATTGTAAAAAAAATTCATTTGCATAAAGCAAACATTATTGTTGTGGTTGTTATTATTATTGTTATTATGATTTGCATTTTTGTTTGTCTTAAATTATTCTTTCTTAAGTTTCTTGAGTGTTTTAAGATTTTTGTTTTGTATTATGATCATTTATCAGACACAACATAACATCATATGAATTAAATGCTCATTTCAATTTTTGCCAAAAAGTTCACCATTCAGTCACAGAGATAGAGATGGATATATTTTAAATAAAAATATAGTGGGCTTATTTGTGTATAATAAAATTCTTTTTTCTGAATTCTGAAATATATGGTAAAATAAACTAGGGTGAAAAATTTAGTAGGCAGCTATGGGGTAATGAAAAAAAAACATGTTTGTATAAACTAGACAAAGTTTATTTAAATAGATCTACTTTTTATGTGTATAGTAGGCCTAGTCAAAAGTTGCTAGAAATGCTTGAGTTAGCTAATTTAGAGAAAGAAAATGTACATGTGAGTGCAAATTCTGAACCTAGGACTGGGGAGATGTTGGAGGCAGACTTCCACTGGACTGATGATAAAGTTGTTGAATTTGGATTCCATCTAGTGCGGTGAACGCTACTACAATGTGGATTGATGATTAGTATAGGATGGCAATAATTATCTTCATGTGGCCATTGAGTGGAGAAACATCCTTTGATTTCATTAATTAATTTATAATATTGAAAATTATTATAAATCAATTCCCAGTAGGTTTTTAAAATATTGTTGCTCCATTTTGAAAAACTTGTTAGGATATTGTTTTATTATTTTTCTAGCTCGTTGATTTTTGGGCCATATTATATAGAACATAGTATAATATATATTTTATATAAATCATTTCATCACATTGAAAAACAATTTTTGTACTCTTTGACTTCCTTGTACTGTCGATATTTTTTGTTTACATAAACTCTGTGTTAGTTCTGCTTAAAACGTGATTAATTTTATTGTTATTGAAAATGAATTCTGGGTGCAGAAAATGTTTTCAGTGCGTTGTTGTTCGTTGTGTTGTAATTGTAACACAATCCATTGCTAGTTTGGAGCTATGAGTTAAACGAAATATACAACTTTACAAAAAAAGTTTATATGTATTAAATCTACAAATATTGAACACGATGCCAATGAAATTAATGATGTCCTTCTGAATCTTTCCTATTTTAAAGTCTTGTTTATGTTTTGTTGAATCCCATCTAATGGCCGATCTCTATGGTGTCAGAACCTAATTGCCGATCTCTATGGTGTAGCTGTCAACCAAGCATCTATGCGTTGGGTGACCATTTGGAAAAAGTAATTATAAGTTATAAGTCGGACTTTGAGTTTTCTGGTTGGTTCAGTCAAATGAGAGCGTTTTTTTAAAATAAAATGCTAGTTGTACGACATTTTTTCAGCAGTTTTTAATGGAAAATTATAATTAGATTCCCGATCTGTGTTTGTAAAATGTGAACTAAGAATTGTTAATTTGATACGAGCATATCATGCACAAAGTACAAATCGTTAGAAAGTTTTACAGTGTATACCAATTACTTAAAAAATATTAAGTGTAAACATCTTTATAATTTTGGTATTATTATTATTATTATTAACAATTTAATACAATTATTTAACTAGTATAAACTATATATAATACAGCTCTTTCCATATTGATGTTACTAGCGATAGAAGTAGAAATAGTGTTGTGTTTGTTTGCTGTTAGTCATCCATCTCACCTCACTGACTCATTCCCCATCATATCAAAATCAACTGATACTCATTATTTGTTCAAGTATTGTATATATATGTGTGTGTGTGTGTATGTGTTGTATATATATACGTATGTGTGTGTGTGTTTGTGTGGTGTGTGTGTGTTTTTGAAGGAGACTATATTTTAATTTATACAGTAATGTAGTATGAATTCTACCGAATTGTTGGCATTGATTAATTTAAAATTTGTCTTTTCAATTTTCCTTACTAGAATTTTCTGAAAATTATTCGGTTTATTGAAAATAGAATTATTATTATCCAAGTTCATCATGAAAATTTAATGAAACTGTCGTTATCCAAGTTCATCATGCAGATAGGCCTTCTTTCAATTTTTCACAAATCATCTTCAGTGCAGGTTTGGTTCATATAGTTTCTTTATACAAAGTTCTTAGGCACAGTGAGTTACTTAGTTGGTGTAACTTAAAATTACATAGATGGATGGATGGATGGAAGATAGATAGATAGATAGGCATGATGATGATGTTTTTGATATATGATGAAAACAATAACAATGATAACAACAATGTGATAGTATGTTATGTTGATAGTTATATATATTTTTTTTACAAATGACAAATGTATTATAAATTAAATTGTTTGAATGTATGCGTGGCATAATGTAGAAATAAAGAGATTCAAATGTGTGTATGTTTGCGTGTGTTTGTTTATGTTTGTGTATGCCTTTGTCTTCGGTTTTAACCGTACTTACATACATACAATACGTAAATATACTGGAGCCTTATTTGTTCATACTGTGGCAATTGATGCTAGGACTTAGAAGTACTGTATATTTTTTATCTCGATTAACTTTTAATTCACTCTTTTCAGTTCATTTTACTTGTTTTTGTTATTCTTCTTTCTCTGGGTGATGGTAATAATAACTTATGATGGTACACACGTGTACACACGCGCATACTCACACATGCGCTTACGCACACACACACACACACATACATACAAACAAACAAGCAAACAGTCAAATATATACACACTTTTAATAAATTTATATATAGTATATATACTGCAGTACATTTTTATAGGATTATTTATTTTAAGATTATGTTTTATGATTTAATAATCTCTACCCTCAGAGTGATGTTTCTATATTCTGTCATTCTCACCTGTAATAGTAAAGTTTCATCATTGCATAAATCATTGAATATCATTTTATTTATTTTTTTTTGATAATATTAATCTCTTTTTTTACAATTTTAAATATATATATATATATATATATATATATATATATATGGTACGGTATGGTATGGTATGGAGAATTTATATAGCGCCCCTCTATGTAAAACTCAGAGGCGCTGTTCGAGAAGCTGCCGGTCAAAAAAGTGATGTTTAAGTCGTTTTCGGAACATGTCTCTTTCATCCATACTATCAACGACATCATCGGGCAGTTTATTCCAAACCTCCGCTGCAGCCACGGAGAAACGACGCCGTCCATAATTTTCTGTCCTGAACCTAGGAACAACAAGTTTCTTTTTGGCAGAGGATCTAAGTTTTCGCCCCCCGGCAGCCGTAGGGACAGGCACGATCAGCTGTTGAAGGTATCGAGGACCAAGCCCCATCAAACTGTCTCTTGTAAACATTCCTATTCTGAATTCGATTCTATAACAAACTGGCAACCAGTGAAACTCATTTCGCATATATGATGAAACAGATTCATATTTTGTTACACCAGCAATTATTCTTGCTGCAGTGTTCAGAATAGACTGTATGCAGTTTTAAAGATACAAGCTTGTACCATAGAGGATTGAACTGCAGTAATCCATTCTTCCACAAATGAAACTGTGCTCAAATGAAATTAAGCATTCATTTTTCAGGTACTTTTTTATACGTCTGATTTGGCGCAATTGGTAAAAACATGATCGGCAGACATTTTTCACATGTTTATTCATCTTCAATTCAGGATCTATCGAAACACCAAGATTTTTGACTGGCTCTACATATTCCTAAATACCAGTTAATTTTTGACGAGTACCCAACCAGATGTATTTTGTCTTGTCAATATTCAGCTTCAATCCATTTGCCAGCATCCATTCTGAGACAGTTCTGACACCTGTTTGAGTTCTGTCCGCTAGTTCCTGTTTTTCTTTGATATTACAGTAACTATACAGCTGTATATCATCTGCGTAAAGGTGACATTTCAAACCCGATGACTCAACAACTTCCACCATATCTGAGAACATAAAGCAGGGGTCCCAGAATTGATCCCTGTGGAACTCCTTTCAACAGTGGGGAGGAAGCAGGATCAGAGCCATCAACACATACCGTTTGCGATCTGTCAGACAAATAGGATTCAAACCAGGCAAGGACCATTCCACCCAAGCCATATGACTTTGCAAGTCAATCAAGAAGGAGCTTGTGGTTGACCGTATCAAAAGCAGCTCTGACATCGAGCAGAGCCAAGAGAGAGATACTACCAGAATCAATAGCCTCATGAACATCATTGAAGACCTTTAGAATCGCTGTCTCAGTTGAGCGTCCAGAGCAAAAACCTGATTGAAGTTCAGGGAAAAGTCAGTTTAATTTCAAGTATGCGATCAATTGTTTGGCCACCAATTTTTCAATGAGCTTGGAAACAAACGTGAGGTTTGAAATCGGCCGATAGCTCCTAACATCACTCGCATCGGAACCAGCTTTTTTTTTAGCTTAGGAAGTATGATAGCCCTTTTTTGACTCTCCGGCAGACATGACGATTGTAGTGATGCATTACATAATGCACATAGATATGGCATCAGAATACCAGAAAATTCTTTGATCAAGAAAGATGGTGTAGGGTTAGTACCACAACTTTTTGCTGGCATCAATGACATTATTTTTGCCACCTCATCTGGTGCGACAATCTCAAACTGGTCAAAATGACAGCTAACTTCTCTGACGACAGGAGATTGTGGTCTACAAAGATCATCGATATGTGCTGGCTCTGTCTTTTTAACAATATATTTCAAATCTTGCTAGGCTTGAAAGTTTCATTCCTCCCGAGCAATGCTGATATAACTTTCCACTGCCCCTTAGGGTTCTTGACATTCGATGAAACAACTGACTGCCAATACATCCTTTCTTTTTACATGAACAGATCATGTTTTTGTTTCAGTACTGTCGTCCAAGCTCTACGAGTCTCATCATCTCGTTTTAATCGAAAGATGTTCTCTAGTTTGCGAGCCTCTCGTTTTTTGTTCAGGCATTCATTGTCAAACCAGAGAGGTTTTAGAGCACGTACTGTGATTTTCCTGACTGGGGCAAATCTATCAGTCAATGAACGAAATGTTGCTTCATATGTCTGGAACAGCCGATCAACATCAAACCCGGAAAATGAATCCTCACAGCATAAATCACTGTCCAACAACTCCTTCTGGAAAATTTGTTTATCAAACTTTTTGAAACTGCGAATCAACTTTGTAAGAACAGGAATACTTCTATCTACCGCTATAACAAATTCAGCCAGTACCAGTCCATGATCCGACAATGTTGGTGGGAGAACGTCAACTGTTTTTATGATTTCATTCTCTTTCGTAATGATAACATCAAGGGTGCCTCCCAAAACATGTGTTGAAGACATGACATGTTGTTTGTACCCAAAAGCGTCCATCAATGTCAGTAAACGCATGTCATGCGAATTTGTTTCATCCTCGAAATGAATATTTAGATCACCAGTTATAATGATATGACCATGTTGCATTTCAAGACCTTCAAATATCAACTGAATTTCAGTATAAAAACAGTTTGTGACCTGCTGAGAGCCCGGACGATAAATATTTAAAAGTAAAACTCGTTTAAATTTTTTTGGAAAGCGGGATATACATATATATTCAAAAGTCTTCAGATCATGAACCAGTTCAATCATTGTTGGTTTCATGCTTTCTCTGACAACAACGGCCACACCACCACCAACAGGAGCAATTCCTTTTATCACTTTATCATCATTCACCTTACGTGCAACATCCAGACAACAATAACCCTCAGGAACCATTCTGCGCAAGACAACATCCTCTGAACTTGAATGTCTACTCTCACATACTGCCATGATATCAATTTCGTGATCTGTAATTATGTCCTTCACGAATGTATACTTTTTACCGAGACCATTGATATTTATTTCAGCAATTTTGAGGCATTTATTTGAATATTGATCTGATTCACATTCAGATTTAGCTTCATTGAGCAAACAGCGAGTTATTTTATTAAACCACCCTCGTTCTTTACTTGGTTTCCACAGCCTGTGTGTAAAAAGAGTTTTTCTGACCTTTCGAGGAACAACAAATTTCCGACAATTAAGTGAAAGTAGTTCAAGTCTATTAAATTTTAATTTAGCTATTGACATAATTATTAAAGTTTTATTCCTTAATGTTTTGTTTAAAAATGGATTTAATAAGAATTATCTAAGAAGAAGTTAAAAAACGTTTAAAATTTATCGTTTTAGACTAAAAACTATTTAAATGTTAAAACCAAAATAAAATATTAATTAAATTATTAAAAGCTTTCGCTAAAGTTAGTTGAAAATGTTAGAAATTCAATTTTAAACTTCAGCATCTCGAAACACGTTGTACTAGTACAACGCTAGCAATATATGTGTGTGTGTGTGTCTTTCTGTGTGTGTGTGTGTCTTTCTGTGTGTGTCTTTGTGTGTGTGTCTTTGTGTGTGTGTGCGTGTTCGTGCGTACTTCGCTATTAAATTTGAAAATTGAATTATTAAGTTATTTTTGTTTCCAATATCCACCAGTCAACTTTTGTTCTCACCATATTCACACATTTTGAGAAAGTTTTATCTCTTTAGTAAAAAATTTTTGCTTTTCTTGGAACATAACTGAATGGCCAGTTGATCAGGCTTGTGTTCTTTCTTTCTCTCTCTTTCTCTTTCTCTCCCTCTCTCTCTCTCTCTCTCTCTCTTTCTCTCTCTCTCTCTCTCTCTCTCTCTTTCTCTCTCACTCAATCTTTTTTATTGTTTTCTTTGTCAACTTATTTTTTCTTATTTCATGCTCATCTGTGGTGGATCGGATCGACTGGCTCGTATAATATTTTTTGCTAGTTGTAAATACACTATATATTTTATTCATATATAAATGTTATATATATATATGTATATATATATATATTATTTTATATACATTATTTTATATATAAAATGTATATATAACATATGTAAATGTACACATGTAATGTATATTTAATATATGTATAATATGTAATATTATATATATATTTAATTCATATTTAGTGTTTGTTGCCTTGGGCAGTCCAGTGTGGAAAGACAATGAAATCTAATGCTGTGGACAGAGAGCTGATGAGAGAGAGAGAGAGAGAGAGAGAGAAAGAGAGAAAAAGAGAGAGCAAATGTAAAAATTTGATACTAAAATGCATAATTGAATTTTGAATTGAAGTAGGAAGAAGGTAAGATATGATGATGAAAACTACCACGGTGATTACGGTGATGATGAAGAAGAAGATGATGAAGAAGATGATGATGATCATGATGGTGATGATGATGAAGATTATGATGATGATGAAGAAGAAGATGATGATGAAAATGATGATGTTGATAGTAGTGGCGATGATTTTGATGATATGGGCTGATCATAATCACAACCGTTGCACATAAACAACTTCAATTAATATTAATTAAACCAAATTATTATTTATAGGTGTTATCTAAAATGAGGACGATGATGATGGCGAAGATGATGGTGGTTATGATATATGATGTAATAATAATAATAATAATAATAATAATAATAATAATAATAATAATAATAATAATAATAATAGATATTATATTATATGATATGATATATGATATAAATTATGAATATAATATGAACCGATACAATACATTACGATATGATATTATATAATGCCGATATGATATGATATGATATGATATGATATGATATGATATGATATGATACGATTTGATACCGATATGATACTATACGATATGATACCGATATGATATGATACGATACGATATGATACCGATATGATATGATATGATGAGCGCAACAACATTATCATCTTTCATCTTAATTCGCATCTGATGAAGATAACTCAATATAACTGTCAATACAGTTTTTTAGACCTTTTATCAATTTGCTTTTCCATTATAGATTGTTAATACTTTTTATTATTACTATTATTATTATAATTATTATTATCAGAAGTAGTAGTAGTAGTAGTAGTACTTTGGTGGTAGTGGTAGTAGTAGCATTCGGGGTATGTTTTCAAGTTATATTGAAATTTGATACCGTTTGTTAATCTCTATGGTGTTGCAATGCCTGATCAATCAATGAATCCACGCAATAAACACACACACACACACACGTGACTGAGCGAATCTTTTTGCATTCAAACCCGAGTCGCATCAACCACCACTTCGCATGCTATCCCATTCAGCCATCAGGTCGCAAGTTATAATTATAATAATCGCAATGGTGTTAGTGTTATTGTTGTTAGTAATAGTTGTAGTAGTAATAGTAGTAGTAGTAGTAGTGGTAGTAGTAGCGGCAGTATTAGTTATAATAAATATAAATGAGTAATAATGACAAAAAATTTAATACATACAATCTATTTGACTTTCTTTTCGATGCTTACTTTTCGTTCTTAGTTCAACCTCGTTGCCGGGTTATTTACTTTAAAAAATGGTTTTTATTTCAACTATATTGTTCTTTGTTGTTGTTGTTGTTACTGTTATTTATTATTATTGTTATTATTATTAATATTATGTTTTTATATAGTTTTATTATTATTAACCTTATTACTGTCATTAGCATTTAACTTATTACTTGACTGCACTTATCTGCATTCATCTATCTCTGCTTTATTTATAAGCAAATGTTAATAAATTTTAATATATATTCACTATATAGTCGTGTGTGTGTGTGTGTGGTGTGTGTGTGTCTTTTTCTGATAACCTTTTTTGTTTCTTATCCATTAAATTTTTTGATGAATAAAATTCTGCTTAATATTTTTTATTAATTTCAGTTCATAATATTTTTAGTTAGTCTAATTTAAATTATATTTTTTCAATTTTTTAAAAATTATTTCTGTGTTCTTTTACGTGTTTGTGTGGTGTGTGTGTTTGTTTGTGTACATACATGTGCGTGTGTGTGAAGAATGTATGTATGTAAAATAAACACAGACATCTTTTGATGTATTACAATGGTCAGTACTTGTGAAGATGGATGAATGTTGAGTGAATGAGTGAGGCTGATGAATTGAAGACAGTCTTCATAAACAGCTGACTACAATCACAGCTGTGTAGATTCACACACATACACACGCACACACACTCACGCATAAACACACACATTCACACACATACACTCACACACTTTTATATAAACACACATGCATGCTTATATACTTACAGTTACACACACATACACACACACGTACAGACATAAAAAATGACATTACATACTAAACTATAGATACCAAAACTTTAGCAGGAGTTTTTCATTAACAACATCAACTACAACAACCTTAATGGCATCAACATCATTTGCCAGAACATCACCAGCAACCATAGCGATCAAAACAACATTAACCTCTTCAACAATTACATTAACAACATTAACATCAACGTTAACAATAGTTTAACGTGTTTGTGTGTTTTTAATTGAAAGAGCAGATATGGCAGAGGTGGTACAGTGATCCTTAATCATTCATTCGTTCATTCATTCATTCATTCATTCATTCATTCATTCATTCATTCATCCACTCACTCATTTGTTCATTCATTCATTCACTCATTCGTTTGTCCGTTGCTTCATTCATTCATTCTTTCTGTCATTCATTCGTTCGTTCATGTTTGTGCTTAAATTATTCCAATATATTTCAAATACATTTTTATTGCTCTGTGGTAGACAAAACTCATTAGTAAACTGACCATTAATAAGTCAATACAATGCTGCATACAAATATTCACGCACACATGTGTTTAAAAATGCCATGTATGTTGTATGTGTGTGCGTACATAAGTTGTATGTGTGTGCGTACGTAAGTTGTATGTGTATGTACGTAAGTTGTATGTGTATGTACGTAAATTGTATGTGTATGTACGTAAGTTGTATGTGTATGTACGCAAGTTGTATGTGTATGTACGCAAGTTGTATGTGTATGTACGCAAGTTGTATGTGTGTGTGTGCGTACGTAAGTTTTATGTGTATGTGCGTAAGTTGTATATGTGTGTACGTAAGTTTGTAATACTGTGTACATAAATGCAAGTGTACAATTTTCTTACCCACTCTCACATGTTTATGTTTATAAGTTGATAATGGTAATTAATGAAAAATATATGATAGGTTGCTGTGTGTTTCTCGTTGGTCTAATTGTTTTGTTTACGTGTACTACTGTCTACTTGATTGGCTGTGTTTGTATGTTTGTTTGTATTTATGTATGCGTGTGTGTGTGTATGAATGTTCGTTTGTACCCTCAATAAATTTCATAAATTTTATTCTGGTCAACTTTATAACATTTTTCGTTTTTTTTTTTTTTTTGTTACAAAATCACTCGTTTCGTATGTATGTTTGCATGTATGTTTGTTCTTCCATAGTTGTGTTTTTGCTTGTTTATGTCTGTGTATCTGCTTGTCCGTTATGTTTATACAATTGGACATGAAGAGCATCTGTTGAAACGCTTGCCCACTGTGCCAACAACACTCTGCATTGTATCATTTTGTATTGTTTGTATTGTATGTATTGTATGTATGAAATCACATGAAAGATGATGGTGGTGAAGTAGCATTGAATTGAGGACCAACTGTAACATTTAAACTATAATAAATGATATTTGTGCCTGCTATGAAGTGATGTTCTTCTTATGTTTGAGTTCATATTGCGTATCCATGTGTATGTATGTGTGTGTATGTGTGTGTGTGTGTATTTATTTAAGTATGTTTGCCTATGTTTGCATATGTACCTGTGTATATATTATAACATGCCCGTTTTTATGTATGCGTTAGTTTCTGTGTGGCACTGGTTGATGCTATGTTATCTTAGGCATATCGATGCAAAGCACACTAGCAAGTAATAATTATTTGCAATGTTCTCTTGTTTCTTGCAGGTTTAAAGAAGTCACTGACGTATAATAATATTGCAATTGAGGAAGGTAATCTTTACAGATGATGGAAAATTAATATGTCATTCTTCGTGTGATACATCGTATGATATATCGATATATAACTCTGCCTTAATGTTAGATGGTTACTTCTTTCTGTATGTTGTAGATGTTTTTGTTATTGTTTCTGACCGTGCGTTACAGTTGTTTGTTGTAGGTTTGTTGTTGTTTTATTTTTGACATTTTCAACCCTTCAATTTCATTTTTGTG